ATTGATCGAAACCACAGAGGAATACGCACCGTTACAAGGATTTCTAGCATTTTCCCATTGGCCATTCAGACATCTTGCGGTAAAGCTAGCATAGGTCTCATCTTTCAAGTATGTCATATTGCACAGAAATGTCACTGACTCATTGTTTCTGAAAAGATTTTGGAGAGAAACATGCTCCAAAAACTCTGTTTACCTGTAATAGTCCTTTTTGTTCCAAACGATCCAGCTTTCATCCTTTGTCAAATCATCGAAGGCACATGAAGTCCCTAATGCACGTAAAATACATCAACAAACATTTATAATGTTTGTGACTCACATATGCATGATACATTTGGAATTAAATAACGTCCTTCTACATCCTTTTGGTCATTGTACAATTCTTTTCCATCTGGACATTCACAAATGTAACCTCCTTCGAGATTCTTGCAGGTTGCATCAGGGTCACAGTTATGTTGGTTATTGTCACATTCGTTAATATCTATATTCAAATCAAGGTTCTATTGCAAACAATGGGGAACATATGTGCAATTACTTAGCACACCTACGCAATTCGCGTTATCAATGTTCCAAACCCCTCCTATACAAACTGGCAACGACGGAGTAATTTCGTAGCCTTCAAGGCATTCTATAATTGCATCTTCGCCGTCCTTGTACGACCTTTGTGCGAATGTACCATTTTCGATATCGTAAGGTGAGCATGTTGCTTCTGGAAATTGGCATAAAAGTGAACACTCGACTTGATCCTGAATAATGAAAATATGTGGTGGAATGTACAGATCTACAACACACGAGCTACACATAGCCGTGCTATATGTGAACAGTATACATACTGGTAAATCCGGAGCACTTATAGTGCTCGTTGCCACGAGAAATCCCAACGTTGTGATTTGGTGCTATTCTCAGTAGGAGTAACATGGGTTTAGCAAATTTTGATTCTGATATCATTGTGCTCGTTTGCAGAAGCAGCGCGCATTAAATCTTGAAATCCATGTTTTTAAGCGGACAGTGATTGGGAGGCAGTCCTCAGATAGAACATTACACAAGCGGCAGCTAACATTATATACTAACAGTTAAAAAACACAAGTAAATGCTTAAATCTTGATCCAACCAATCCAAACAATTTGTATACCATCGGACTTGCCTTAGAACGGATTT